TTATAATTAGTAATCAATTTTGATTGTTACAATGCAGAAACGTTCTTCGTTTCAATATATATATATAATATATTTAGATGGCGTTGATTTAATTCGCGGCCCACTCGCTACGATCGCAGCGCCAAAACACGTCTTTGGAAACTTCTTTGGATGTTCTTACCAGATCCAAAAACAAATGATCAGTTGTCCATCCGGAGACCGAGACGCGTCGAATAACACCTGATATGTGTCGATTGGTGCACGGGAAGTTGTCTAGCCGTGAGTGACGGATTTACTTACTTATCACACTTACACATTGTGCAGTCGAAGACGTTTCGACTACAAGTAAATGCGTGCAAGGCGTCGGGCCCTGGCCGAATCTAGAACAGCTGCATTACAGAGCGGTACTTTCCGAAAAACTGGAAATTCGCAAGCATCTCCATGCTTCCGAAACCCGGTAAGGATCTCACGATCGCAGCGTGCCACAAGCCAATCAGTTTCCTTCCTGTTGTGGGAAAGATATTCGAGAGGCTTCTACTCGCTCGAATTCTGCCAACTGCTCTCTCGCGGATCCTCATCCGAGGTGAACAGCTTGCCTTCACACCGGGCCATTCCACTTCACTTCAAGCACTTTGCAGGGCTCGGTAGATTTTCCCTGGACTGTTACTCACACAGGATGTACCCGTCATATATCTCGACATGGAGAAACCATTCGACAAAGTGCCACGCAGTATCCTCTTCACAAAACGTCGGCGCTGCCTTTCACAGGACGTAATTGAATTGAATTGAATTTGTCTTTTTTTACGTGGCGAGACTCGGGCCATCAGCCCCGCTCTTACGTCTGACCACGCTACGCTCCTTTCACCAACTAGCAGAGAAAGGAGGTATTTATTGGGCGAGAAACAGGCGATTTGAATTTAGCTCAGAGACGTCATTTAGGCTTGAGGATCTTTTACATGCAAGTAAATCTACGAACATGGGACAGCCGGCTTTACTTCCCCTCCGAAGGAAGGCGTACGAAGGATTTTTTCGCCCTTAAAAATCCACGGCTTCGATCGAGTTCGAACCCGCCAACTTGGATACAACGGTCCAGTACGCTAACCGTTACACCATCGCCGCCGCAATCGAAGTAGTTAAGTCTTTTCTCACAAAGCGCCATTCGTCCAAACATCCATTCGTGGTACATGTGGTTAAAGCGAGATCCTGAAGGCGGAGGATTGCTGCCGGAGTCCCCAGAGCGCCGTCCTCTTTCCGCTATTGTTCTCGCTGAATGTCAATGACGTATACTACGAAAACGGCTTTTCCTTTATGCTGACGAAGTTGCCGTCTTAGCAAGAGCAATAAACCTAGACCCAAAAACAATTGAATCTGACGCTTAAGTGAGTGAAACAAAACAGGCAATCTGTTACACCCGACGCAAACACAAATACACTAAACGTTTCACACCAGCAAAACAAATTACACATGGCACACAATAACTGACCCGCTACCCAACGCAGGATAGTCTTACAAAATAGTTATTTTATAAAAATGTTGTAGTATATTTCCATACAAAATATTTATTTCTGTACTTTTATTTTATATTTTTTTACTCAAATAAACGCTCAAAAATCATTAAACTGCGACAGTAATATTATATTTTGTGCGTCAGAACCTAATGCTATGCATTACGCTCTAAAAAGGGTAGGCCCATTGGAGAGCTAATACAAGAGCGCCCGTTCTTTTGAAAGGCGGTTGCTGTAAGAAGTTCGATCGCGACGAAAACAGGTGTTGCTCAAACCCTGAAACAACAGGACAGCTGGAGAGTGAACGAAGAAACCGGGTATACGGGAGAGTGTAGAGAAAGAATAGTGGACACTACGAGAGAGATGGGCTGTCGGAGGGCAATTAGAAGCGGAAGAGAGATGAGCGGGATGGGATGGGACGAGAGTGGGAGAGAGATGAGCTGTGGGGGAGGGGTGCGGGCCCTGGCCCTGTGCCTGGCGGTGGCCCTGTGGGCTGAAGGGCCGAGGGCGCGCGTGCTGTGATGGGCGCGCCCGCCCGGCCGGCCGGGCTGCGCTGCGGCGCTGGCGGGCGTGGGCGTGGGCGCGGGCGCGGGCCGGGGGGGCGGTGGGCGTGGTGAACCTGGGCGACGCGCCCGCGCTGGGCTTACGCGCCCTGCACGCCCCGCGCGGCGCCGCTGCTGCTGTGGCGCGTTACCTCGTAAGCCCGTGGCACAGGTTTGTTGCACCGCCAGTGGCTGGAGGCGCTCGGAGCGCTACGTCCTGGCAGGCGACAACTCTTTGCGCCTCTCCTCTTCCTCCATTACGAACACATGGGCAGCCTATTCCAGACATCATGTACAAGGTAAGCCCTTCGTTTTCGGTCCTTCACGCGAATCCCAGGTGATGAAGAAAATTACAAAGAACAGTATTTGGTACTTTGGAATTTCAAACATGATAAACTACATGTTCCAATGGATACAACCAAGCTGAGCTCAAACGTACGTTTAAGTAATATTATTTTTTTCAGAATCTTACAAAAACAATTCCGTCGAAATTTGCAGCTCAGTTCCGCTGTGCCTATTGTTCATGGCGACAAGCGAACAGAATGGCAGAAGAACAGGTGTTCACAGAACGCTTCCGGGTTACAAGGATATAGAATTATCGCATGCCACGTCATGTTTTGCCATTTGAAGGCTTTGTCCCTTATACTGATCCTTGTGAGTCTTAACAATAATCGCTTCATCTGTGGATCACTTTGATCAATCAAAACGTTCTATAAACAATGATCTGGAGTAAAGGGAAAGAAACTCAAGAGGACGCGCTAGGACCAGTGGACCAAAGGCAAGCTGAGCCTAGGGATTGTCACAGAAAGGCGCTCTGGATTACGGGAATGGGCGCTGGGCCAAATGTCACAGATCCAGCAGTGGGAAGGAAGCATGAATCTCCAAAAGAGATGGCTACAGGACCCAGTGGGATGCGGGATGCGCTGAGGCAGAGGCGTTGGAGCGGGGTGGGCGCTGAGCAGAATGCAACCGATCCAGAGCGAGAAGGCAAAGCAGTGAATCTCAAAGAGATGGCTATGGCACCAGAGGGGATGAGGATTGCGCTTGCAGACAGAGGGCGTGGAGGGGTGGGCGCTGAGCAGATGCAACCGATCCTAGAGCGAGAAGGAAGCAGTGAAATCTCAAAGAGCGATGGCTATGGACCAGAGGGATGAGGATGGCTGAGACAGAGGGCGTTGGGAGGGGAAGGTGGGCTCTGAGCAGAATGCAAACCGATCCAGAGCGGCGAGAAGGAATCACCGAATCCCCAAAGAGGGGCCAGGAGCCCAAAGTGGCCCAAGAGAGAGCCGAGGGCAGAGGGAGTCTCTGGGCGATGGGGGCGGGGGCTCGAGGCAGCTGCAGATGCGAGCACGAGGGGCGAAGAGGCAAAAGGGGAAGGCGAGGGCGCGCAGGCAAACGCAGCGCCAATGGGAGCAGGAGAATCGCGACCTGGACGACGACTTGGACGCCTCAGGAATGTTTGAGGGTGCACCACCAGTCCTTCGAGGGTGGTTGATGCGGGCAAGGCTCTTTCCGGGGTCCATTGGAGAGGAATTGCACTGGACCCAGCAACTGGCGGGTAAGAATTTTAATCTACCTACAATGAATGTGAAAATGAATGTCTTACAATGAAATTGAATCTACCTACATTGAAAGTCTTTTTTTGTCAACGTAACTTTTACTATTAGATTTTCACTATCAAACGCGAAATTGCACAGTCAAAAAATATTACTATTTTTACTCTTTGAAACTTTGTGTATTCGTTCTGATGTTGAACTTAGTGACACATATATTTTTCCGAATCCCACTCCTTTCAAAAATAGTATCAATTTTTTTTGAAGACTCCTACACCCGTTGATATTAAATATTTTTCACGCATTTACCTTTTCCTGCTGAAAAATACAACAACATTTAAATTGAATATGAAAATGTTCTTTCATATTATGACTGCATTTCACCTACCTCGATCTCGTATTGTACCGGGGGGAGTGAGACTCCTCAGTGAGCACCTGGCGTTGGCTCTATCCCCCCCCCCCGCAGGCTCAGTCTCTATTGACGCAACTCGTCTCCAAACTCCGTAAGGAGCGCTGAGCGCACTGGAGTAATCCTCCGTTAACATTTACAATTTTTTTAATCGGAGTAATCCTCCGTTAATAAGCGCCCTCTAGGAACCGCTGTGTTGTCGAGTCACGTCAATCATAGTCAAGTCAGGGAATCGCCGATAGGTAGCGTCTTCGCGCCCGTGTCATCTACCCATCGGCCGGAATTGGGAAGGAATAAGGAGGGGGAAGGTTTAGGACGCTTCACAGGGGTTGGACTAGCCGTTGTGAAGCACGCGAACTCGTTTTGTCGTAACAAATTTCATGTGAGGTTCTACGGGGATTCTATGAGAATTGAACCCGGAACCCGGAATCAGTGGTGAAAGGCAGGTGACTTCGTCAATGAGCAATGACTAGAGTGAGTACAAGTACGTGTATGTGTACGAGGTGTACAAGGGTGTACAAGTACGCCCTTGGGCTGGAGTCTGGATCCCACCATAACGCAGTTTACCCTCTCGGTAACCCTCCCATTCAAGGCCTGGGTCGGGCCGCCCTGCCAGCTCAGAGCTCCTAGATTTTCAGGCTAGTACCGGAGTCACAACAATGCGTCACTCCTATACGCCGGGACGAACCCTTCGTCTATACCCAGAGCTTTGGGCCATTGCCTCGACAAAGCCAAGAGCTCAACAGGAGACCACCAGAACTAAGGTTCGAGGAGCTTGGGGCCCCCTCCCCGTCTCCTAATGCCTACACCTTTAGGCTAACTACGTGAGTATCGCCAATGAACCTCGGTAACCTGATGGTTGGGATCAGGTTCCCGCCGGACTTCTAACATCCTTCACCCGATCTTTGGCAAAGGTCGCCGCGCCATAGGCCCGACCGGTGGATTACCGAGCAGGTGTGATAACCAGTAGCTTAATATCGCGCAATCACTACCTCCACCTTGAGACTACTTGAAAGTTTCGTTTTAGGCCGACACTCAATTAAATTTTAAAACATTCCTACGTGTTTCTACAGACTTAGGGCATTCATCAGCCAAATTTAACTTGTGGTGCTACAAAATGTTACAGACTTTCCCGTATTAGTTTTCTATTTCCTTTAATCCCGGCTATCTATTTGGATTTGCTTCGTGCCATCTATCGCCCCCAAAGAATATTTTTGTCTTACTTTTTCGGTTTCCTAATAGTAGAACGGAAAACACTCCTTCAAAAATGGCGTGGAAACATTTTGGTCAAGAATATGAGAGAAAATCAGATCCTACAATAAAGACGCATTTTGCCTCCAAGCTGAGGTTGACGCTGCCCATGGGCTCGTGGAAACCGTGAGACATGTTCACGTACACTCGGAAGAGGGCTCTTCCTAGCAATTGCGAACATTGGAAACTGGCAATTCCGGGAGATTTATGACACCCAGCTTTATTGGATCATAGATATTAACATACCTAGAAATGTTATGAGTATTATTACCACAGAAGACAAAAGTTAAAAATTGAGGCTACGCTCCGGCTCGATTTTTGATTTGAGAGAAGCAGTAATAACCGTAAAATTTCGTGGTGTATTCTACATATTATCGTTCACCATAAAATCTCATGATTTATGCGAAAATTTACATTACTGAGGTAGTAAACCAATGAATTCTGTTGCTGCGGCACGTTACTACGTTATGATGGGGTGCTGCTTGTGAGATAACTATTTAACTAACAATGTTATTTTTTCAAATGGTTAAATTGTCGTGTTAGAAAAGAAATTTAAAAAATAAAATGTCAAAAATGTATTTTAAATAACCTTAATAAATTAGATGCATAAAATGAACTATCATTTTTTGTTCTCTAAAGACGCAAATTATTAAGTTTTATTACAATTACATCACGTCTTGCAAACGATTAACTTCAGCAATTTGGCACTTTTCAAAAGCTCTGAAAATTAATAACGTCTCGAAAAAATATTTTGGGGAAAAATGAAGAAATGTTTTTAATATTTTTGCTCACACACTTCGGAGAAAAAACTTTAAAATTCTCATCAAGGTTAAAAATTCTTCTTCAATTTGGGTGATTTAACTTTAATGGCGTAAGTTTTTTTTTTCATTCGACAAGAATAGTTGCGTACATTTTCTGTATAATTTATTATTTAATTTTAATTCTTTATAGATTATTTTTTACATAATACGTACTCCTGAGGATGAAAAAGCAGACACATGTATGCTAAAGTTTCTTTTTATTTTTAATGTGCATAGTACAATTTTTTTGAAGTTATGCAAGTACTTTTAAAGCGGTTTTAGTCGAAAAAGACGTCACATTAAGCGAGTGTGAATGATCTGCTTGGTCAAAAGAGTAATTGTTTAAGGGGATTCCAAAAATGTAAACTTATCTAACGCTCATCATGTATTTGTATCGCAGGATGCGTGTGTTCAAATGGAAGAGTGACAATGGTGACGAGGATGGTGACGAGGGTGAGAGGGCGGCTGCAGCGCTCCTAGCGGCGCGATCGCCAGACCCGAGGGGTGTCTCAGTGAAAATAATGGCCATTGAGACGTCAGACTACTACAACTATACGAAAACTATACGGGGCATCGATGTGTCTGTTGTCGGCTACGTTCTCCGGATGTTTGATGAGATGAGCAAACGATACAAAATTGAATTCCTCGGTCAGCTGATACACGTCATTAATGCCGTAAGTAGTTGTATTATTATTATTATTATTATTATTATTATTATTATTATTATTATTATTATTATTATTGTTAGTAGTAGTAGTAGTAGTAATAGTAGCAGTAGTAGCAGTAGCAGCAGTAGTACTAGTAGCAGCAATAGTAGTAGTAGCAGCAGTAGTAGTAGTAGCAGCAATAGTAGTAGCAGTAGCAGCAGTAGTAGTAGTAGCAGCAATAGTAGTAGTAGTAGCAGCAGTAGTAGTAGTAGCAGCAGTAGTAGTAGTAACTAGTGAGTGCGGTAGTGGTAGATGGTAGCCTAGCAGTGGTGGTGGTGGGTGGTGGTGGTAGTTTAATGTATGTTTCGTAGTGTTTCTTTTTGCGATTTGTAATTTTATTTCTGTGTTTCGTGTAATTACCGCTGTACTCTCGGCAATTGTTTGATGACGTATGTTATTTTATTGAACTAGTTTCAAAATCCTACATTTTCTGTACGATTTTCTATGACATACGAGATTGTGTATAATGTTGGTATACAAAAAAAGAACTTTAACAAGTAGAATGGACTTCAAGGGGTGCCAAAAGAGTAGGGGTGGACTGTGAAAGAGCTAGATTTTGAAAGAATATTTTCAATAAAATAGTTGTTTAAACAGCCGAAAGATTTTGAATGTTTCGAATATGCAATCAAAAAATTTTAAGGTCATATTTATGGTTATAGTTTCGGAATTTTAGGTCACAAATTCTTGGATATTTCTAACAGTTTTAGGTCTAACATTATTAGGTAATGCAAATTATTATGCGCTTAACTTCAGTATCTATTGAACTATTTCTCTGTTTTTACACTTGAGATGCGTCTTGCCTTTCTAAGCTAGTTTTCATCGAAACTAATTATCGCATTTTTTGAGGCTGATGTGGTTTCTGCGGAAAATAATCGTACTTTAATTAACAGGCTTGAAGATCAAATCTGTTCTCTTCTTTCATTCAGCAAGGTAGTTAATGACAAAACCGTTAAAATTGTATATATTCAAACGTTCATTTCTGTGGAACGAAAACACACCTGCGCAAGTAACACACAAAACCCTGCGCCAGTAACACTTTCAAAAATTTAGCGAAGCGTCACATTACGGCTGTAGAGGAGGCGTGGCTCAATATTTCCGTAAGTGTCTTCCATCGACTAGTTGAGTCCATGCCACGTCGAGCTGCTGCACGTCAGGGGACAAAAGGAGGTTGTACACAATTTTAGAAGGTATCCAATGTGTTTTGTCCCTTTTGTGTAAAGCTCTAGCCAACCATTTCGTTCCTGTATGTTAAATTTTGAAACATTCGTATTTGTAAATTGTACTCAGAGGGCACCGCCCCAGAATCCTCAAAGAAGCAACCTCCACTGATTGTGTGGATGAACTCGACATTGCTGACAGTCTGGGGTGATAGTGGATAGCGGATTAGACTACAGCTCATTGGCCTCGGACCACGTGCTTCAGCGGACGGACACGATCCGGTTTCTTCACATCCAATTAGTTCTTCCTCAGAGAAAGAAGAGTTGTCCGCAGCACATTGCCACAAGGGCGTGGTTGTTAACGTGAGAGACCCTGGACCGTCGTGTAGGCGTCGATAGTGGGCAACCGGGAATGGGGGCGGGCGAAATTGAAAAAATACCACCCTCACTGGAAGGAAAGGGGAACTCATTATTTGGAGAAGGTCTGATATTTTGTAGCAACTTTACTTTGGTTTGGTAGACAAATTCCGAGCCTTGATCTGTTAGACTGATATTTAATGATTTTTCCTTGATATGCCATCTTTGTATGTACTCTTTTTTTCTGAAACACCTCTAATTCATTACAACATAGAGCGTAATATGTTTATGCATGCCAAACGTATGCATGCGCAGGATATCTCTAAAAATGTTGTATCTGTCGGCATGTAGATGATTTTAAATCTGTCAATCATATTTAGATTTGTCCCTTACTCAATACACTGCCATATTTAATCAGGCATTTTATTTTCTAGGACTCTACTGAAAAACATACGAATGATATGGAAAAACTGTTGGTTACGGGGGAAATTGATTTTGTACCACAGTATTTGAGGTACTACAGCGAAAGGTTTGGTTACACAACTTTAATGGATATCGTGTCCGTCGGAGAGCCCAAACACCACATTACGAGCGTCCCGGTTTGCGTCGCCGTGCGGCGTGGTCCGCTGTGTGCGCTGTGTTTCCACCGGATTCTGGCTGGCGCTGTGGGGGCGGTGGGCTAGCCCGCTGGCGTGGCGCCGTGTGGCGGGCAGAGTTCGGCTGGCCGGTCAGCGGGGGCATGCGCGTCCTTCTCCTCGTGCGGGGGGCCCCGCAGACGAAGGGTGCGCGCCACGCCGCAGCGCCTGCAGCTGACCGCCGCGCTGCTCGCCTCCGCCGTCGTCGTCGTCGCCATGTATCAGGTCAGCCCTTATCGCCGACTCCGACTTTTTCAAAGAAATGCTGACGGATTTCAGCTGTAACAGGATAAGGCAGGTGGAATGCCCCCAAGCCTAACGCTTTACGGATACAGTCTTTACGAGAAGTTAGTTGACAGTTATTGCCCCGAATTTAAATATATTAATTCCCTTTTTTTCTTTAATTCAAAGAAATACTCATTAAAGTGAAATAATGCATCAGTCCGATTTGACATTCCCAATAGAGAATTTAAAAAAAATGAATCAAAAGTATCTTGATTTGTAATCCTGAAGAGTGATTTGAAAGCATGAACTTTCTACGTTCTGATTAGATTTAACAGACAAATATTTTTGTTTGTTAAAACCGCTGGCCGTCCGTAACTGAAAATTGTTACTTGTAGAGACTTGTTAATTTATTTCACATTATTGCTAAATAAATAAATAACAATGGATTAAAAACACAAAACGAAAACAAGGAAAGAAATCGCAATTCGAACATAGTATTCCAGTCACTTAGATGTATTTTTATAAGAGATAATTTAATGAGAAAGTAAACATGAAATAGTATTAAGTCGTGAAGAATGTAAACATAATACAGTTTTAAGTTATTTGATAGAAAAAATCTGGCAAACATATTTTCGTATGAAACCACTCTTCGCCGTCTCGCGCCGCTCCAGATTGCGCACGTACACCCCTTTCTGTATTTTAGGGGAAATGAGTGCGGAGTGAGGGGCAGTAACCCGTGTGCGGCTCCCTAGACGGGCAAGAAGCTCGTACGGGCGCGGTTTGACCTGCCTCATTCACGAGATCCAGCGCATTGTGTGTAGTCTACATCGGAGCTCTACTTCAATTCTTTCTTTTAATCTGGCGACTTCCAGTTCCACAATGTTTCTTTTACAACAAGTCATTTCAGAATCTGAAATTGAGTTAATCACTAATTAATGTCACCGTGTAATAAATTTAATAAAAGGATTATTTTCTTTTAATCGTTTTGTATCAGACATCGCGAAAACTTCTGTTGAAAAATAAAAAAAAAAATAAAATTCTTGTTAAAAGTGTTATCCAACTGTAGTTAATGGTTCTCTATAGGACCAAGAATATGTTTTAGGGAATTGATGGTGTCACTTACGTCAACTTTGAGCTACTAGTATTTGTAATTGGAGACTTGGGTGCAATAAGAGCGTTTGAGATGAAATGCTCTGTTGAAGAATCAGCATTTGAAGTTTGAAAATGGTAGGAAACTTGTTGTAACGTTATTGAAAATAAAATTGAAGACTTGTAACAAGACACGGTCGCTAAAAAACACAGAACTTTGTTTTCGGCCCGGTAAGTGCAAGGTATGTTCGGTCCAGTTTGCTTTCGCGACTGCGAGGACACATACGATTAGTTCAAAATTTGACCCCATCAATCCTCCCTGAGGGACTCCATCCATCGCCGTGAAGCATCTTGGAGGTTCCGTAGAAAATTGTAGTCCTTAGTTAAAGAACCGTCTACATGCATTATGAACACAAATCTTTTCAGCAAAACATTCCGCGACTACAAATTGAGTACAGATTGAAACATTAAAAAATGATAATTTAATTTCATTTATTAATAATTATTTAATTCCATAAATTAGGTATATAATGAAATCAAATTTGGACAAAAATATTTGCTTATAAGAAGCGAGAAAATATATGTCAACAGGAGAGAGTTGAAGTACCCATTAGATGTATGTATGTACCCTTTAAATGCATTGCTCTGGAGCTTCTAAATTGTTCTTTTGATTGAAAAAGCCAAATAAACATACTTTGTATGAAATTAAACAATTTAATTTTTGTATAGCAAAACATTTCTGTAAAATTACGCATTTTTTTAGTTTTTACTACGCTGTCCCCTGAGGCTACGCCCTGAGAAAGGTCGCAGAATGGCAACCGAAACGTCGGCACCTTCGCCATTGACGCGGCGTCACCCGGGCAGCCTAGTAAATACTGACTCCTGCCGCGGAAACCTACGCTCTCATTTTTTAGTTATATTCGAAAATCCGCGGAGACGTAATTTATTTCATGAGTATTCATTTCAGATGATTTTTGTGTTTCAGGGCCACCTCTTTGACCTAATTACGA